ATTAGCCTCTGACATTTGTACAACAGAATAAGTTCTTTCTAATCATGTCTCTGTTGTGCAATTTTCCAAGTATTCGAAATATTCCAGCCCTCATGTGGACTTGCCGGGACAGGACGTTGTCAGCAGATTCCTAATCTGAAAACTGAGAACATAGAGTTAAGTTTTGTCTTGATAAAGGAGACACTTTTCGATTCTGAGATCATTTCAGTACCCGGCATTCACTCTGCTATCTCCTCACTTGATTTGCCTCTATGCACTGATGTTTGCTTTGTAACGTCAGAGATCTAAGAAATACATCTTACTCCTACTCTTGTCCTTGTGGTGAGTAACTCTGGATAACAGTGTCAGCTAAATGGCTAAACTGTGAATGTAACTCAATGTGTGCCGCTAACAGTGCGCCGTGTGTTGCGAGTACCCGTCAGACAGAGGGTGTATTCACGGAATAAGTGAAGCAGATTGTATCCGTTTAAATTTACTTAAATTTATATCTCCTGAGGCCACTCGTTGTGAGTAGCTCTGGATGAGAGTGTCAGCTAAATGCCTGAATAGTTGAGAGGGAAAGGTGCCAAATTTGATAGTAGAGGAGGAAAGACACTGAGAATTTAACTCCAAGTATTTGGTGTTTCACAGACAGTTGTAAAAACGTCATTATCCTACACAGCCAGCTTCTTTCAGTCCTTAAGTAATCCCATATCATAGTTTGACAGTGAGGGAATAATCAAGTTAAAGCGAAATAAATTTTGGTATAATTCTTCGTTAGATTGGATTAATTCTTCAGTTTAATTTACTAAATGAGAACAACATTTCTCAAACATCTACTGGCCAGATTGCCATGAAATTCTGTGAGAACATTCATGATCCTCAGATGATGACTCCTAATGATTTTAATGATTAATGACTGCGTTTTGGTGCCAGCATGATGTCAAAACTTCCACTTGTACACAAAGAAGCCAAAATATGAGTCGTAGATCGACATGAAAATCGGTCCATGTCAACTTTGCACCCAATATTTCCAACATGTCCTTTACATATAACAGTGTCACAGTTTGTTTGTCACTGTTGTCAAAAAAGAGCCATATGAGCCACTGTTGTCAGGACATGCCCAACACAAAGCAGTCTGTTTTACAACTTGATTAAAAGATAAATTTAGTGATATTCTACATTTTTCTTGTAGTCAAAAAAATCCAATGAGAAGACCGAAACCAACAATGAATGTACTATCAGCACTGTGTTTGTGTATCAAAGCCTGATATATCTCATTCCACTGTGCTATTAAAAACACATCAGTGAGCCACACTGTTATACTGGGTGACATGTTCCTTCATCACCATGAACACACTGAGTCACGCACACACACACACCATCCTGCTGCCCCAAATACTTACTAGAGCACTAAATGTTGATTAATCCGCAACTGAAAATAGTCGTCAACAGATTCTACTGTTTTACTGGTAAGAGCAACATTGTGGTAACGGCTGATAGAAACCAATGTTGATGTTGACAGGATTTCACAGCATAGAGCGGGGATGACAACTGCAATGTGTACCACAGATTTTGGGGTATAATAATTATGGCGTGCACCGTTCAGGATGTGACATAACAGCATTGAGTCAGGGGTACATGAGCAAGACCTTGATGTGAAGCTGGGCACCTGACCTCCTTGAACCTTTCTCTTTGACTTCCTCTCTGCTTCCTGACGACAGGATGAGGAACTGGGACGTGCTGTTCTTTTTCAGGGACAGCTCACGAACTCAGGATGCAATGATGCTCCAGTACTACACTCAAGAGAGACAAACAGCACATCGAGAAGCTTTACTGCCTCACAGGTTTGGCAAATTAAGGAGGTTAGAGGTCATAGCACCCTGTCAATATCCCTGTATCCCCACCCAGTCATAGTCATGCCTATTTCAAAGAGAAGACATTGTTCCAACATTGCGTACTCGGAGTTTGACAGGAGATCAAGGTGACGAGTATCATGATACATCAGTTTGTCCTGGTTTTCATGATGAGAGAACCTGATTAGTTCAATGATGCTATTGGATTAATCCAAGCACTGTAAAATGATTCAACACTAAGAGCACCAACCTTATAATAAGACTTCTGAATATTCACCAAAGTGTGCTTGTTTGTTTATGTGTAATGTTTTTTATTGATAAATGTATTTACATTTTTCTTTATTGTCTTGTATACTGTTTGCACATTACTGGACAACAAGAATCGCTGTCTACTTACTTTATATCCTTGTTTTTTGTACGTAACCTTCGTCTTGAGGGGTCCTCATGGACTAAAGTAAAAGTCTGAAAAAAGTGTAAATGTTTGTGTTACTTGGAATATTTCACAGTTCTCTCTGTCAGTGTTGGTCTTTGGCTATTTGTTATGGAAGTGCAACATCAGGCAGTTACTTGTTCATGAGGACTACATTTTTAAAAAGCTATGCAATGAAATAACCAGTAGCCCATGCTGGAAGTTGCCTGACTGGGTTGCTGATCAACACAAACTTTAACTTAGCAACTACTTTGCCTGCTCGGCTCAGCAATTATTTGTTTTCATTCTTCCTGCTAGCAAACAGTGAAACTTTTTGTAGTAGATGGATGCCGATGTAATACTGCTGTTGAGCTAAAGCCTCCTGTCTCCTGAGAGAAATGGAGAAGAAGTAAAACTTAAGTTTAAGATGTTACAGGGTTTTCACCCGACACAGGCAGTATACTTCAAATTCAAAGCCAACTTTATTGCCATGTTTCCACAGAAGTTGAACATAGAAGATGCATAGTAAACTGAATGCTTGCTGCAAAGCATTTCCAAATTCCTGTCTTCATTATCATAGATATACCATCCACTGACATGAAGTGTACGAGGTACAAAACATTTAAAATAACAACCTCTACCACCCTCTAGTGGCCACCAGGTGGTGGTACATTATTTGCACAAAGTCCTCAACATGTGAATGGTTTCACTGCATTTTACTGACTCTTCCGAGCATTGGAGATAAATTAATTTCATGAATGTAAAACATTGACTGAATTAAATATGAATACTGCAAGTCAGTGGTATTATTGTCTAAAGCCAAGCACCGAAGAGGCCTTTAATAACTATTAAAACACATTAAAGATTGAAGTTTATCTCTGAATACAATTTAATACGATTTTAATATAAACAAACTAGTGGTAAGATTTTGTGTATTACTCTTTACTCTCTTCACACAAAGCAGAAAACACTTACACTGACACATCGATATAAATGTGTCAGAATAATGAAGCCGTTAAAATCAACAATGACAATGAATAGATATATACGTATATACAGAGACGTTTGTTATGAAAGCCCTATAGAGGTCAGATAATGGCTGGCTTCTTCTCACACATCCAATGGTGATGTTCTTTGCAGTTGTGGATGAACCAGGTCTCTGAGCACAAATCGCTTCCGTCAACATTTGCACACCTGCAATTCCTGGGGCTCCAACAGTCCAGCTGCAGATTCGAGGGACTAGAAAAACAGCATGAAACACTGTTTTATTGGACTTGGTGAGGGTGGAACAGTGTGTGTGTGTATATATACAGCATATATATATATATATGTGTGTAAGCCTGTCCAGGCTGTGTCCTGCCATCGCTCAGTGCATGATGTTATCGGTTAGGCAGCTCTTAATGATGCCGCACAGGATAAGCAGGTACAGAAAATGGCTGGATGAAGGGGTTTGATGAAACCTTGTGGTACATCACTACTATTAGTTTAAAAAAAAAAAAGCAAACAATTTTTTTGGGAGGGTTTACCCAATAGCTTAATGGTTAGGGAAAATACCCTGAGCAGCAACTCCTGCCCGGGCCGGACAGTTTGCTGCATGTAATTCCCCTACATTTCCTGGTCTTTCTGCTCTCTAATAAAGACATAAAACAGATTGTCAGTTGGGTGGGCAAATGTCTTTACTCTAAGTCCTTTCAGGCACCCATCCATGCTTTTATATACCTGCCTTTCCTGTGCCCCTTCAGGCTACCTGTGATCCCCAGACATCCACACTCCCAACCCTAGAATCACCCAGTAAGCATTGATTAACAGGTCAAAAGTTGTCTGGATGAAACAGCGCATTGCCTTTTGTAAGCCTTACTGAGGAAGCAGCAGGTGTCCATCCATCCACATCCATCTCGAATGTCGACATCTCAAGCCCATCCACATTTTGACAGCTCCAAAACTACGGACGACTTTCTGTTGGGAAGGGATTGTAGGTGAAATGGTTTATCCGTTGTGGTTAGTGAGGTCAACAATAAATAAAGAAGTGGCGCGTCACAGTTGAATTCAGATCGGCAAAACAGGACCAGACAGGACAGGTTGGATGGGGCAAGAGGGTACTAGACCAGATGATATTTATCCTTAGGCTGAGGTTAGAAAAGGCAGACATGTACTTAATCTAACTTCTTCAACAGTGCATACATGGCTGTTGGGTTAATACAGTATATTAGATTTGCATAAGAAAAATCAGAAATACCTCTTCTATGTCATCATCCAAAATCACCAAATAAGCTCCTTTACTCTCACAGTCTTGTCTGGCATTTTGCCAGGTGTCTCTCACAGAGGAAAGCTGGTAGCAGCTGGACTTGTATGTCCACCATCCCTGAGGACATCTTGGGATGTTACTTTCTGCTAAGGAACAGGCACAAGACAGGACACGTCAGGATAAGACGGGACAGTACAGAAGAAGACAGAACGGGACAAGACAGGTGAAGAAGAACAGGGCAGGAGAAAAAAAGACCTGTGATAGGACAATACATGACTGAACAATAATCCCCTTGGTACCATAAATTGCTGTACTAATGGTAATCCATCCAGTAGTTATTAAGGGTTAGGGTTTAGGGTTAGTGGTGGACTGACCGACTGTGACTGAGACATCCCTAGAGTCATGGTGCTGGAATGGCTGAAGACAAATGAATTCATAAAAGGAAAAAAAAATGCACTCACCCATTAATATTCTTGACTGAAATCTGTCTATCTCAGTTTGTTGATGGATGACTTTCTCTTTTAACATGTTCATTTCTTCAGTCAGGTCCCTGTTAGTGACCTGTAGCTCTTCCTTTAGTTTTGCCAGTTTGTTTTTCTCTTGAACCAGTTGGTTTTTATCTTCATTCAGATGGTCTACAACCTGAAGCAGTTGATCCCTCTCTAAAATCAGGGCTTGGATGTCATCTGACTTCGGGATGAAATTGCTAGTCGGGATATTGTCGGACCTGTTAAAAAACCCAACTAGAAAGGGAAAAACAGATAAGATGTTTGTGGTTTCTGATGTTTAACACTTAAAGGTCTAATTCAGAGAGCCAGGAAGTGATTGGCTGGGCTTTGCATAAACACTGGAAGCGGGGGAAAACAGCTGGGAGACTCTCGGTATACTACTACAAGCTGCAAGGAGTTGCCACCATTGAATTATTATATTATTATTATTACATTATCATTGTGATAGATTACCTTCGCTATGGTTTGGACAAAGCCAGTGCTAGCTTGTCTACAGGTAGACAAGGTAAATATATATATTTAAATTTTGCCCTGCTTTTCAAATGGCTTTTCATCAGCTGGACGGAGGGTTCACTTTCTGAAATCTGTAATGTTAGTTTTTGCGGTGTGATGTGGAAGGTGGGGAGCTCACACTCACCAGCCTGCAGCCGAAGACAAACATTGAGAGTGGACTGTACGATGCACAGCAGGCCGAAGCTCACTCCAACCAATATGTACATTTTTGATCCTCCTATAGATAGATTAAAAAAAAAAAAACATGCATACCGCCCACCATATTTCTATTATCAACATGCGGTTTACTGGCGCACATTTAAGAGGAATGTACACAACAATGAACAAGACGAGGCTGAGGTTTTTGGAAGAGGAGACGCCCTTGAAACTAAGAGGAAGTAGCTGTATATTAAGATTCTTATGAATGTCACAGGTGTTATATTAGAAAAAGTAAATGTATATAAATGTGTATATTCACTTTAGACAGAGGCAGTTTGTGAGGTTCAATAAATATGCTTCCTGAAAATAACTCACAAGTAAGCCAGGGACTCTCCAGCATCACAGTATTTGAGAAGTCTGTTAAACTATTATAGAAATATATTCTAATGCTTTTTCAATATGCACAGAAACACACCTTGATAAAGTATTTTTAACTTAATCTTTAAAACATAACACGAGAACAATATATACATAAGCTGGACTTCTTAAAGAAAAGAAGTTTGCAAGTAAAAATGTACAGGGTCAGAGGTCAAAACCAAAGTGCTGTACGATGAAACGGAAAAGGGTTAAAGCTCAGAAGTAAAAAACAAAAACATTTGAACTTATCTGAGATGTTCTGACCTGAATGCAAATGCTCTCTCCTCTTCCCTCCATTCCTCCTGTCAAAGATGGGATAATTGGCATAGAGTCCTGTCTCCATTCTTCCTACAGTGACAGTGTTGATGGTTAGAGAAGGCACTACTATGTCATACAAACTGTCATGGTAATTTAGTCACCGACTACTTCTCTGGAGTTCATGCGGGGGTTTCATTTCCTATTTTCACTGACCAATTGTAATGCAGACAGATGTGTCACTAACCACATATTACAAAAACAAAAAAAAAAGAAGTATCATACACAAATTTGATGACGAGTGTTGAAAATAAGACCAAAAATGGACTATGAGTACCAACTTTTGCTGATTTTAACACTTTTAATGCCGATTTGATTTGTAGCTTTTTATTTGGAAAAAAAAAAATCCTCACAGGAAGTCATAATGTGTTTGGTTTATTGGAAACACACAGAATGAGAATGGAGAACTTGACATCCAGCATCAGTAGGTTCACTCAGAATACAAAACCCATTCAATAAACATCATCAACACGACAAATACTGATTTAACCTTTTTAAATATCTGAGTCTTGGCCTGCATAGAACTGACTTACAACTGTCTCACAGGTACATTCAGCAGGCTGCAGGTTCTCCACAAAGGGGAGCTGTTTGCATTCACCTGCTACGAAGCAGCTGCACAAGATGCTGTCCGTCACTCGCTGCATGTGGCCACTTAACAAAAGGACGAGCATCTTCCTGCTTCCCTATAAGTACATCAGCTAAACGTTGTGTCGTCAGCCTCATGTAAGTGGAAGTGGCACAGGATTTTCTAGACTGTGAGTTTCACCAGATATTTTTGTCAGTGATAGAACTCGTTCTAAAACCAGCATCCACACACGCATGTACCCACACTATACCACTTAATGCCACACTGTCGTGCTAATTGATTGATGATTTCACATCCTGTGGTATTTCAGGTGTTTTCTCTCGTAGCTCAGAGGAGAATGGCCAGACTGGTTAGAGCCAACAGACAGGCTACGGTAACTCTGATAACCACTCTTTACAACTGCGGTGAGCAGAAAGCACCTTGAGGTGGATGAGCTAGTCCAGCACAAGACCACGTCCAGTTCCACTTCCTGTCAGCCAAGAGCAGAAACCTTAAAGCTGCAGTGGACACAGACTCACCAACACTGGACAGTTGAGGACTGGAAAAACGTATTCTGGAGTTTGAATCCATGGAGCCAACCTGCCTTGCGTCAACAGTCCAAGCTGGTGGTGCTGGAGTGTTTTCTTGCCTCACTTTGGGCCGATAACACGGTCTGAACGCCACAGTCTATCTGAGTATTGTTGCTGACCATGTTCATCCCTTTACGGCCACCATCTTCTAATGGCTAATTCCTGCAGGAAAAAGCTCCATGTCACAAAGCTAAAGTCGTGCCAAACTGGTTTTGCCAACACGACAGTTCAGTGAACTTCAGTGGCCTCCCCAGTCTCCAGACCTGAATCCAGTAGAACGCCTTTGAGATGTGGTAGAAGCTGTTTGAGAGCAAAGAGACGTGTTCCTAATAAAGTGCTCACTATGTTAATATGTGATATCGTCACAGTGTTTTCCTGACTTCTAACTTTCTAAATCTAAATAGCACCATCAGGGTCTAAGCAGTTTTAAAAAATTATTCAATACAGACTTATTGAAAACAGTAAATACAGTTCAATAAGAGCCATTTTTAAGACAAGCTTCATCAGACCCCAAATTGCTCATATGTCCTACAACAGTGGACAACTGCTTCAATCAATAAAACTGAATATTTTCAAAAGATCAAAAGAAAGTGATGAGTTTCTAGCTTTCATTGAGAACGGAAACACACTGACTGTAAAACAGAGCAACGATGTGCATCCTCCGCCCACACATCAGCAGACACACTCATGTTTGCAGTAAATAGGACAGGAGTACATGAGGTGATACTGCTTAACCTCTGCCATTTGTAACTCACGCCGTGGTCCTCGCGTTCACCTTTAGTGTAAACGTCCAGTGTGTGTCTCACAGAATGGCTTGGCTCACTGGACCCATTGTGGTGTTGCTGCTGACTTTGTGTGTGTCGTCTGCTGAGGACAAAGGTTGGTGAACAGCTTTCGATTTTTTGGTTTCTTTCACATATTTTTTTTGTTCTCTTGATACAACGTACTGTCACTGTCGGGGGGAAAAACCTTGCAGGGTATTATTAGAAGACACACGTGGCCTGTTTAAGTTCTAATTATACAGTAGACCATAGTATACACAGATGTCAACAACTTTCATCTGAACTAGTTTAGCTAGGTAAGTTTTGGCTTGTTAGTAAACACTGGCTGAAGGGAAACCAAGTATAAAAAGCCTTTAAAGCTTTTGAAAGTTTTTAAAATAACAGAAAATTTCTCACAGGATTTACAGAAGTAAATAATGTTTCCTTGTTATTGGGAGTATTTGATATTTTTATGTCTTTGTTCAAGACCTTTTCTAATCTCAATCCATTTTTTTTATTTTTTTATTCATTTATAATAGTTGCATGTTATTGTGATGTTTGTGTGTTTATACTGTTAAGTGCTTATGCTTTAATGGACAAACTATACTCTGTTGAAACAATACGACCAAGAGTAGAACTACATGTGATTTAATTACTTTGCTGCAGCTGCACATGTATTTGCTGCAAACTGTCTCTGCCAAATAAACACAAAAATAAACAGGAAACAAAAGCATTTTAAACCATGTATTGATAAGCTGAAAACAATTCACGTTAATGCCATGAAACACTTGCGGACAAAAACCTGAGTGCAGCAGCTTGTAGCTACATACAATTATAGTGATCTATTGTGTTTTTTACTGGATGTGAGATGTGACAAGAACAAAACAAAACAGCGAGAAAATAAAGTATTAGAGTAAAAATGTAAATATCCAACAATCAGACGCATCCCAGGCTGGTGCACAAACTTATTTTAACTAACAACTAAAAACTGAATCTCACCCTTTGACCCTTTTAGTAGCTCCTGTCTATTTTAACAACTCAATCAAAGAGGAGGGAAATATGATCACAGTTCTTATGATAATAATCAGACTGATTTGCTACTTTTTGTTTTCACTTCATGAGTTACTTTGACATCGTATTTATAGTAGCCGTTTCCTGTGTGGTTCCTGTATAAGCTACATATAGCGGCATATAGCTTTTCAATATTTGTGTGAATTAAACGAACAAGATTTAAAATGTTAATTAGTAATTTTTAGAAGGGTTGCTACAGTTGTTATCTTAGTTGTTTCCTCCTGCTTCCAGTTTTTATGCTAAGCTAACCAGCTAATGTATGTAGATTTATAAACGCCAGATGAATATGTGAGTGGTATCGAGCTTCTCGTCTAACTCTCGGAAAGAAAGTTAATAAGGGTTTTTCTCAAAATGTAAAGTAATTCCTTTAAGCTAGTAAAAGTGAATCACTGAGTTTATAAACAAAGTTGAACTATTTTTTTTCTTTCCTCTCATTTTTTAGAAGAAATCTTAGAGGTCCGTTACAAACAGAAAGTCATGACTCTCACCAGAGGCGAAACGGTGAAACTATCCTGCGAGGCAAATTATGACTTGGAGAAATGTGGTCTGGTGCAGGTCGTATGGCGTCATATCACCAAAAATGCTGATCTGACTGACCCCAACAAATACCTGACCACAGTGAACGAGACACAGCTTGATGACAACATGAGACGCAGACAGGTCGTGACCGAGATTCTAAACCTGACAAGAGAGGACAATGGTGATTTCCAATGCGAGGCTAAATGTGAAAATGGAAACAGTGCAATGGGACATTTAATCACGATCACTGTCAACAGGTATGTTCGCTCTCAAGATGGGATATTACATTAACTTTTATCATTGTAACTGAGTAGATTTTTATCTTCTTTTAAGTTAAAGTAGTGTTTTGACCTTATAACTGAAAATGACTCATGAATACAATTTTGTAAACATTGTAAGCAATGCATCTGAAACTGAGCAACAGTAAAATACAGTGGCATCAAAACAATGCGGAATAAATTTGTGCAATTTTAAGCCATGCCAGCAGCTCGGCCTTTGAACAACTCTGGTCCAAACGGGAATATCTCAACAGTTACTGAATTTGATGACTTATTTTGTCAACTATTTAAGATCCTCAGAGGATGAATCCTACTTAATTTTCTTTATAGAATTTAATTGAACTTGTCATTCTGATGCCTCTTTCTGCTTTATGTTCTCTTGTAGATCAGCTGACTGAGATGACTCCAACAAGTTGGGAGCACCAAGTTTCACAAAGATTTATTACAAAACAATATTTTCTTCCTCTTTTTGTATTTTGATGTTTCATCATCTGTTGTAGCTGCTTCAGTGGCAGCAGATTAAACATCCCCTATATGACTTTGTGTGCCTGCTTTAAGATGTTAGCCTAACGGCTAATGTTAATTAGGTGCATGTTGGTGACTCCTCGGCATTCAAAACCCAAGCAGTGCCATTCATTTATTGTTTTTGGAAGACAAATCTGGTCCAGAAATGATTTCATGTTGATAATAGAGGCATAATCGATTTTAAATAGTCCTGAAAGCAGCCATTATCTTACTCTACCACTGTATCTAATGATGTGTAATGGTACAGGCTATCTGTCACTTACATTGGGGGTGGGTGTTGCTAGGCAACATCTAGCGACCATAATTACGGCAGGAGCAAAGGGAAAAAGCGCGGTGACACAGTAAAAAGTAAAAAAGTAAAAAATCTAATTGGCTGGATTAGTGTGTCTGGGTAACAGTTTCTCAAATGATTTTATCCAGATCTTCGGTTTCTAATTTAAATTGGGACAAAGATAGGATTGCCAAAAAAATGATTTGGTTCTCTGCCCAAAATCAAAATAATACACAGTAATTTGGAAATACAATTGTCATGGCACTGGGAAACAAAGCCCTGCACACATTTCTAAAGTGAAGGCTTTAAAAAAACGAACCATCAAAACCCGGCACATGCACTGTCTGTGTCAAGGTGTGAAAAGCCACAATCAAAAATTAAAAAGGCAGCAATGCTGCACCTTGTTGGTAGCACTCAGAGCAGTCTGCTCTCGCTCAGTTTCCTTCCTGCCATTGTTGTTTTCTGAGGGCCGAACAACCCACAAGTGGAGAGGACAAAGCCACATCTGTTAGAGCAGCAGAATTGGCCTAAACTGTGCGACGACCTAAACGGTTCAGCCACAAAAACAGATTTTTCAAAGCATGCAAGAAGTGATAAAGTCCTCGGTTTATTCGACACAATCGGTTGCTGTGTTATCTCTAATTGTTAACCAAGAAACCATAAGCAAATCACCTGGTTCACCACACATGCTTTGATTACCAACAAAGCAATCATTAATGAGATACCCATCAAGAATAACCTTGAAGGTCTGATTCTATCTCAATGTACTGCTCCCACCAACACCACCCTACCATGTGCTCTTCATTATAGGAGTGGAGGGCTGCAAAAGCCAGACCACAGGAGAGGAAATGGCGACAGATGGCGTACAGTTTCGAAATCAAGCTCTAAGTAACACATACAGATAAAAGGGCTGACTATGTGACACTAAAACTGTGAGAAAAGGTGTCAAGTACAGTTAATTTAAACCACTGAACTCTGATAAACATTTTGTGCCTTAGACCACGATCTGAGAGGAATTTGCAGTTTTGGAGGGAGGACTGGCATGAAAGGTTGTGCAGATATTCTAGGTCCTCAGACGAGATAGAAACTTTGGCTGTAGACTTATTTATTATTGTGCCTCTCTAGGCTGCAGGTGAGTAAATGTGCACGTTGCTGAGACACGTTCACGTGTGTTTCTTTTATGCTTGTGCAATTTAACGTAACATAGAAGAAATCAGGAAACAGAAATCAATTTCACCTCAGTGACAGTGTAAACAAAGCACTACATCTGTGAAACTAAAGTGAAAGAATTTAGATTGATCAGCACACCTGAAGGGAAATTCACCTTCACAAACTCTCAGCTATCAGATCGGCTGGGGCAGTACTGTGCTGAAATGTAAGAACGAACTCAAAGAGTGAGACTGATGCAACGAGAGCGTTTACATGAAAATGAATCTTTATTGTCTTTGTGTCAAAACATTTTACAGGAGTTTGTTAAAGAAACTAAATATAAAATAAAAGACAGGTCTTTATCTGTATGACAGACAGATGTTCACACAACCAACACATTTTAAAACAAAGCACTTTTTAAAAAAAAAAAAAAACATTTACTTTAATCAGTGTGATGCTGCTGTTACAGATTGGATGACAGCTTTTGTTCACAGGTAAAAACTTACATGTGCTGAACATGAAACTGTTCAATGTCTCCACAAACTAATGCAATCAAATACATATATTGTTAGACTGCATTATATTGGAAAGTGTACCTTACATTTAGTTAGGCTGCTGTATTGAACTACATTAGATTTACAGGCCTCTGTTTGTGAGATTTGGAGTATCCTCTGTGATCTCTGATGCAGAGAGAAACCCAACAGGCAGAAATGTAATGTTGCGTTTCTGTTTACAAGCTGACAGAAAATGTCTGAGTGTTTATTAGGAAAATAATTTGATTAGGAAAAGTGTGTTGTGTCTTTTTTGGGTATTAGTCTCTGATACTTTGAACAGGGCTCCATGATGAGCCTCTGGTTAATCCCACAGACTATACATGAAGTTCAAGTGAAACCACAGATCACCACTTTTGGTCGGTGTTGAATCACGCTTTAACACACCAACAGCGCCCTCCTCTGGATGACTTGTGTAACGACAAACTAGACAAAATTAGACACTCAAGGATCATTTCATTGTTCCTTATATTGAATATACTGGTCTCTTAATCAGATAAGATTCATCTAACATATCAGTGAAATATTAGCAGCCAGTAGTAAGAAATAAAGTGGTCTACCTGGACCACAAACCAGAGGTGATACTGTGAGCATGTTTTCTGAACTATTTTAGACCAAGTGTGAAATGACACACTGTAGGTGAACAGTTGTTTTTTCCCCCCACAGTACAGATGGTGAAAACATTTAAAATCATTTACACAAAATTAAAATCCTAAACATCCTTACATGAACTTAATATCATGGGGAATAAGAGAAACTTATGCTGGAGGCAACAAAAACACCTGTTTGTTCACAGGAGAAAAAACATTTTTAAGGCAGCTGAGAAAAGTTTGACAAAGGCTGTGAAAAGTGAGTTCAGACTGTTCATTATTAATCCAGCTCAAGACTGAACTATCATTCTCCTGTTGGCATTTTTTGGACCAGAAAATTCATACAGTTCCACATATTTCCATCTATAAGATTCCCGGTACAAGCACACATGGGCATATGAATTGAAATCCAGCTGCCATGAGCCTCCTTGCTGACACCATTAAGCCTCCAATTCCCTTCCCAGTCTTACGCTTCTCCACCTCTGGAGATTCATGAGGTGACAGTCAAAGGTTAAGTGACATCAGGAGCTCTCTGATTGGCCGGGCTTGGTAAATTTGCTCTGCAGGAACACCCTGGGAACACAGAGCCCCTCCTTCTTGTTGACCGTCTCTCTCAAGACGTAGTCGTTAGCGACACACTGGAAACCCGCCTCCTCAAAGAGCTCGACCAGGAACTCTGAAAGCAGATGAAAAGAGCAAACTGACACTTTAGAAGAAGGGAACCAACAACCTTTTTGAGAAAGGACAAAATATGGATAAAGGCTCCAGAAACGTTCATATTGTAGTTTCAGTACAAAGAGCGATATGTCCCACAATAACTGGCTGAACTGCTGAAGAATTAAAATCAAGAACTTGCATAGAGTTTTTCCTCTATATTACATTCACACAACAAACACAGGGGCAGACAAAGACCTATTAGCTCTTAAAATAAGTGAAAAATAACTTCTCTATTCCATCTATCTATCTATCTATCTATCTATACAAACAAACTAAAGTGATTTACTGACCTTTAGAGAAGAAGTAGGACCTGGTTCCGTCTTGGCGTACGTAGAAATTCTCCCCCAGCTTGCTGCCAGCTTTAAATCGGAGCATGGCGTGGTCGTAGAGGCCATAGTCCCTAAACAGGACGATGCCTCCAGGCTTCAGCACCTTCAAGCCACACGCAAGTGACACCGTTACACTCAGCTTACATGAAAAATAGCATGGGATGTTACCACCAGACCAGTGCTGTAACTGAAAAGTCCAGCAGATACATTAAAAACCCTCATGTCAATCAATATATGTATCTACCTTTTTTTCTACACACTAGATTGTGTGTATATTAGGAATGTATATGAATGATTATATATTTTAAAGAGAGGAAAACTCCCAAAGTTAAGAAGAAATAATCAAATCAGATTAAGGAATCCTGCAGCGAGTCTTTCCTGCCTCTGCTCTCACCCTGCTGATGTTCTGCAAAGCCAGCTTCATCTTGTCAGGGTGGACGGCCGACAGAACGAAGATGAGAGTGACGACGTCCACACTGCCCTCCGGCACATTTGCCGTCAGGTCATCTTGAGTCAAGTCGCACTGGAAGGCACAGCAGCGCTCAGGGCAGTACAGGGGGTTTTGCTGTAAACAGAAAAGTTTTTATTTGTATGATCAAGCGCTGCCTTAACTTGTGGTTAAAAATATGCTCCATAGATACAACTGGATAGATATCGTACCTTGACAAATTCGACAGCTCGTGGTGAGAAGTCACAGGCATAAACGAAGATGTTGAGGTCATCCTCAAGCAGAGGGAAGATGCAGTTTCCCACGCCGCAGCCGGCCTCCAGCAGCACCAGCCTCTGTGACTCAAACTGCAAACCAGGCAGGACAAACACAGAACTAACAGATGGCCACAATATCAGATCACTTTATTCATGTATAACCCTACCTAAGGAAATACTGACACTTGAGTTTTAAATTTTTACAGTGTCCCTTGTGGGAAACTTTTTTTTGCCAACTGTGTTTTGAAAAGAGCAAATTGGCAGATTGGCAAAGGTTTTGTTAAAATGCCATATTTTTTGAATAAAGTCTGGTGAAATGTTGTCTTGGGTCCCAACACATTAAAAAAAACAAAAAAACCTGTATTTAGGGGCTATTTTAACCAATAAGCAGCAAGTACAACTCATTAATTTACCACATTTAGCAACCATGAACACACCATGAAAAAACTAAATCCAATTAAAACATTAAAGGAACGTTCCTCTAATTGCTCCACTCTCTTCCTCACCTCTCTGCACGCTTTGAGGTCTTCAAACTCTCTGGTGGTCCAGTGTCTGTCCTTGAAGAAGTTCGTCGTGTTTCTTTTGTAAAACAAGTCCCAGTTTTTCTGAGCTTCTTTCTCAAGCTTCATCTGCTTGAAGCCGGACACCAGAGCCCGCTCCCCGCCGAGTCTGTCCAGCTCCTCCTGACTTAAAACTCTGGCGGTGGAGGTTTTGGTTTGTCCGGGGATTTCATTTTTTGACCCCTCTTCTTCTTCTTCTTGGGATGGTGTTAGTTTAATATCACCGGGGAAACTTTCATTTGAGAGCGCCATGCTGCTTTTAAAAAAACAGAGGTTTTGCTGTCTAACGGTTTCTGTTGGTCGTTAATTTATTGGGAAACAACCATATCATGCGATTGTACCTCAACTTCAGTTACTTAGACGACAAATGGAAGTAAAACTAACCTAATGTTCTAACAAAATTTCCGACTGGCTACATCTTTACACATTTCGCGTCCATCTTGTCCGTCACTTAAATCCATCCGTGTAGCGATTGCAATTAGTTCTTTTTCTTACCGTGAGGCGCCAATATTATCACTACTCGTTGCATAGTGAATGAAAATACAGAACATATTTAGAAAAGTAATTATGTGATTTGATATGTAGTTCACTTGTCCGCAACTTTTATATTTTTATATAAAAAGTGGACTTTCTAACGTCACATTTCACAGCCGGACCGAAAGCGGAAGAGGCGTGGCCGCGTGACGAAAGGGATGTTTTGCTAAATGTTAGCCGCGGCAGGCTAACTTTGTCTCATAGTTGGTATCTGATTTAGACTTCTTTGAAGTTATCGGACACAGCTCGGCCTCCGGGAACACCGCAGATAAATGTGATTTTTAAACGTTTTAAAACAAACGGAGACATGAACGGGAGCACGAATCCGTTGCTGGACAAAGAGGAGCATGTTTTGAAGCTCGGAGAAAGCTTTGAGAAGAGGCCAAAATCTTCCTTTCACACCATCAGATGTGAGTGTGTCAACAACAACAAAAAAACATTACACATAAACAAAAGAAAACGCGTTAAAAACAGGCGCAGGTTATTAAACGATCTGTTGTGTGGGATAAGTGCGCTCACATGGACGGGGAGGATGTCTGTTACACAACCTAGCCAATTATGGATGGATAAGTACATTGAGTCATTTGCATAGAAAATCTCGTTACACCCACCGCTCTTAAAGTTTTAAGCAACTTTCACTTCTTATTATAGTTTGTTAATATTTGTTTTAGTAATATTATTACGTACGGGAAGGAGAGAAAGCACTGCTGCCATTAATACAGGTTAAATACACAAACACGTGTGTTGCTTCCTCACATTTTTACACCATTTACTTACTTAAACGTTGAAGTTGGCTGGTTGTGCACTTTAACCAGGACAAGGTGGTTGTGTACATGTTTTTCTTTATTGGCAAATGCATGAATTAAGACTAGTTTGAAATTGAGTATAGAAAAAAATATCAACTCTAAATATTTTGTTCAGATTTTGTGACTCAGTTTTGTTTTGTTTTTGTTGAGTTATTACAAAAAATTTAATGAGGGACTTGCTGCACACAAAAACTGACCAACTTGCTCATTAGTCAGGAAAACATCACGTGTGTGAACTGTGTGCAGTTAAATAAAGATAAGTATTGGCAGATTTGGTGCTGAATTTAACAGAATTGTTTGTATATTTAAGGTAATTTAGAAACCATTTATTACATAGTTTCCTCATCAGAGTTTATTTTCGTCCCTCTCAGTGCACCTTGTGGTCACATTTTTCTAAAAATGTTTGTGTCCTTCTTTTGCAGATGACTTCAAACCAGCATCTATCGACACGAGCTGTGAGGGAGAGCTACAAGTTGGGAAAGGAGATGAAGTTACCATAACGTTACCTCACATTCCGGTAAAACTGCTGAACTGCACTGCAGCCTACCGTCTGTTTATCTGACCCAAACAATGAGGATATGTGAATGTTTGGAAAACCATTATGTGCAGTATCTAGTAAGATACAAATATAGATAAATAAAGAGATATGAAATTAATAGAACTGAGGGATCTTGTGTCACCTGAGCTGATTTGGTAGCATTGAAAATAAGAGGTAAATATACCTGTAGGTTGGTTAACGTCAATCAAGACCGGCTCATTTATAATAGAATAATTCATTCTGATAATATAAAAGAAAACATAGATGGAACATATTTAGATGAACCGTTGTTCTTTCAGGGCTCCACGCCTCCCATGACGGTGTTCAAAGGAAACAAGCGGCCTTACCAGAAGGACTGTGTGCTCATCATTAACCACGACACCGGGGAATTCGTACTGGAGAAGCTGAGCAGCAGCATCCAGGTCAAGAAAACCAGGTGAGACGTCAAAGCAGTTCAGACCCGTGATTAGATTTGGTGCAATAGCTTATTTTTAATGACATAAACATGCTTTTTTCCTTCATTGTTTTCAAATCTCCAGGAAGGATTTTACAGCGTTTAAGCTCCAGATAAATCAAGAGAGATTCCTGGAGACACAAAGGACTAATAGTGTGTACATCTGCTGCGTGTGAATGTGTGTTTCAGGGCAGAGGGCAGCAGTAAGATCCAGGCCCGAATCGAACAGCAGTCGGTCCGGTCCAGCCAGCCCAGCTCTCAGTTCCGGGCCCCCACCAAGCCCGGGGCCGGAGTCAAGACATCCCCTTCCCCTTCGAAGGATAACCCCTCCCCAGAGCCCCAGCTCGATGACATCAAAAGAGGTGAGCGAACTCTATCCTGCCTTAAATCATAACACGTGGAAGGATGAAGTCGGGTTTTCACTGATAATTGGAAATAAATCAACAATGGGAAGATAAAACTTTAATGTTGGCAGAGCTGCGAGCGGAGGTGGAGGTGATAGAGCAGATGAGCAGCAGCGGCAGCAGCAGCTCCTCCGACTCGGCCAGCGCCTCGGGGAGCGGCGACGACAGCAGCAGCAGCGACGGCGAGCACGACGCCCCCCGACCGCTCAGTCAGACCTCCCCCAACCGCCACCCCATGGCCAACGGAGGAGCCGACCGGCAGCAGGGCAACAACCAGCTCATGAACACGCTCAGTGAGTATCTCAGGGTTTGAGGTGACAGGAAGCTGGAGTTTATCTTTTAGAACTTATTTTGTAATAAATAATTTATTTTATATTAAGAATCTTCCTCTTCCTCGCAGGAAACGACCTCCAGCTCAGCGAATCAGGCAGCGACAGCGATGACGACTGACTTCTGCGCTGGTCAGTCTCTCTCTCTGCCCACACTCCTCCTCCTCCTACTCTTCCTCCTTTCTGCCTGGTTCACTTGTTCCTTTGCTGTGGTAGCTGACCCCAGCTGTATATCTTGGGTTGACTGTATTTTTTTTTTTTTTATCTTTATTATTTTAGTATATCCTTAAAGCTGGCCAGCCTGGAACTTTAAGAGTGTATTTTTATTAGATGTATATTTTGTTTTGTATAGCAAAACTCTAGGAAAAAGAAACTTTTACTTGAGAGGTTTGGAAGATTATATATTAGAGTGCACATACATATTTTCTGTACTTAGAGCAGCTAGTTTTACCTACTTGTATCATCTGTTTTTGTTGGGGTTTCGTCTCCGTGTCGGGACGAGGAAGAGGTCGGCTCAATATATCGCGGCTCGGTCTCTCCCCTCGTCGCGTCGTTTGTCAGAGATGGTTGTGGGAATCGTCTCCACGTCGTGCTGCCGGCGAATGAGCAACAAGTCAAGGGAAAAAAAAAAAAACTCCCATTGTGCAGCAGTGTTTCTTTGTTGTGGTTTGAAACTGTTTGCTGCTCATTTTAGAAATTAATCTTGAAAAAGGTTGTGACTAACTATCAACCTAATGTCAGATGACCTTCATTAAAGGACAAGGCTGCTGATTATCTTTTCCTTATTGTCAATGAATCTCATGAAAACACCAGAACCAACAATGTGCTCGTGTCCCGGTACTGATCTCTGCCCTGAGCTCGCTGATTCCTACTGAACATGTAAATCTTTAAAATCGGATCACAAGGATAAAGATCGATACAGTGACTTCCTGAAACAGCTGTAGTTTTAAGCAAAAGTTCCTCAAACAAACAGGAGGAAATAGTGCATCTGTTGAGGGACTATTTCCAGCAGCGGAAGGAACATGAACAGACTAAGAATAAGACCAGGCTGTGATGCTCACAGCGCTTGTTAATTGAGTCAATTCATTGCTCTTTTTGGTTTTTAATGAGATTTATTGACAAAGAGGAAAATATAGAATAACTATAATTAAACAGTTCATCTACTTGTAGAAATTAACTGTCATGTTGCTGCTCTGTTCTGATTTCATTCTCATGCGAGTTGAGTTCAAACTTGTCTTGTTTAGTGACGTAACTTTAAAGTAAATTTGAAGTTTAGATGGTTGATATTTAGGACCACATAGTACAACAGCTACACTTTGGAGTCGAGATGCAGGTGTTTAAATCTGCGCCGAGTGATTGTTTTTACCACTAGGGGGCAGAAGATTAGCAAACAGTTGAACTGAAGTCCAGTGCTCAGCCTCCTCTCGCCTCCGAGAGAGAAACATCTGCCTCTTTTAGCTGCTTCACTTTCCTCACCAGCTTCTCATCGCGGTGCTGGACAAACTACATTCTTCCTTATCTAAGCTTGGAAACAGCTGCTCCAGCTGCTGATGAGAAACTCAAACACACTCTTGTCTATTTGTAAAACAATGAGAATGTCTGAATGTACGTTTCCCCGCTCTGCGTCTAACAGAGGAGGACTTATTGAGGTGGTATTTAGACGATGGAGATCTTTAAAGCCGTCATTACTTTCATCCTCTCGCTCATCTGATCAATCAACTATCACAACAGAATCCAGCTGACTCACAGTGTGACCAGTAACAGTATCATAGCAACGCCTCAGAGGATTACTGATGTTATTAAATCAATCAGTCATTAATCAGTTAAAGTTAATCCGATAATTAATCAGAGTTAATGGCTTTTATGAAAGTTAAAAAGGGAAAACTAATTTCCTCCAAAGAGCTTTATTTTCCTGTAATATTTTTGCAAAATGGCCGCTGCTCATTCGAAGCTCGTCGTATCAGTCGTGTCGTTTTATTCCAACAGAGAATCTTATTTTTGATCCAGACTTTTCATATTAACACCTACACCACGGTACCATTCCACGCCTTACAGCATTTCAGCTCGGAAATGAAGGTGAATGTGTCGCTTTCTGAAAAATGCCAAAGAGCCGCGTCACGTGCGGAGAGCAGGAACGTCAGCGGTGTCACAGAGTCACTGTGTTATTGTGTTTTTCTTTTCTTTTCTTTTCTTGCTTTTATCTGAGACTGTCTGTGTCGTGCTTATGAACCAGTGAAGTCGGTGATTGTTTCCCTTTCATCTGCTGGAGCCGGTGGTGTTGTTGAAAATCATTTGGTTTTGGTCGTACTGTATATTATTGTTAATGCTGTCAGAAACACGCAGCTGAAGAGTTTCACTGCAAAATAACCAATGAAAAAATCGTGCTCATTTCCAGGAGATGGTAAAAAGTTTTGGGAATTATGGGTTGAGGGATGTTCTCTCCTTATTAATTAGACAGCCCATCTGTTGTTAAGAGACCAAAAAAAGAAGTCTTAAGTTTATTTGTTTTAATTTTGTATGATGAAGGAGAAGGAGGAGCTACTGGAAAATACAGGCACACGCCGGCCATCATAGAAATATTGAAGTCAATCAATCTGCCTTTTTTTTTTTTCATCCCAGTTGTATTTCCCATGTGTCTGAGGGAACGAGGCCTGAATGGTTCAGTTTGAATCAATACAGCCGCCCACACAGACCGCACACAGCTACTGTTCCCTGTACAGGCCGACGCTCTCCACTCTGCGGGGAGCTGGGAATTCAATTGACATTTCACTTATGATTTATCAGTTTGCCTCACAGTATTTGAGGGTTTCTTAGCTGGAAGTAGAGCACCAGTGTAGTGCGCCATTCACCCTACTATTTTCATATGCGGGAACTTTTAACTTTACACTCAAATAAAATGTCAGACAGTAAATACAGTGCTATATAATATCTTTATCAATCGTTAATACCCGCATCATTAATTGGATCTGCTCCTATTAAATGTTTGCTTACACGAAAATGAATTAATTGTCACGTGAATTTTGGAATGAAACTCCTCAGCTACCGTGATGAGCATACGTGTGGAGCGCGGTTTAGCATCACGCAGGATGTAACCGGAGCTGTCGGTGTTTTATATCGTAGCCGTGTTTCTCAAAAAGTGTCTTCAGGTGAAGTTCAGCTTTGCTTCATTAATGCACAGAACAGAACAGAGATGATTGTACGTTATCAAGTGACACAAGTCACTGACAAAAAAAACACAGTATGAAAAACTGTAACCGTCTTCAGATATCCTGCTTCTCAGATTACCAGTTACTGTCAAAGTATTTCTTCTTTTATGTGAGAACTGAATCGTCCGCCAGATGTGGATCATTAGTTTCTCCACCAACGAGTCGACCACTGAGGCAGGTGGACGTTCTCCTGTCTGATGGACTCTGTTGTATTTTGGTGCTTTAGTTGTAATGTTTTTTGTTTTAGTGATTCATTTATGTGAGATATGTTTGTACAAATTTGAAGTGTATTAAAAGTGTGCAAATGTATTTAAAACGGTCTTAACCCTTTTATTGTGAAAATCTTTTCTTATGACCATTGAGCCTGGGAAATCATCAACATTGTTGTGGGGATTTGAACCAGCAACCTTCAGGTCGGGCGTTCTCCTCCTCCAACAAGGTTTTCGAGACTGTAAGAAGGAAAGACAGCAGTCCACAGTCGACTTCCATGAAAGATTATATTGCTGGTCTTAAATAATTATTGTCAAGTGAAACATACGCTTAGATGAACACCTTCAGTTTGATACTAACCACGACAACCTGTACACTGGAGCACAACACAATACAGTACTTTTTTCCCTGCGATGGTGCAACGACTGAGTCACATTTGGGCATTTCTCTTCAAACAGTAACACAAAAGTACACTACAAATACATAAATAGCTTTTGTTTCCCTTTAGATCATTTATAACTCAATTATATTCATGATTCTGGCTCTTTGCTACGACGTCTCATTTGACAGATATATAAATTAACAACATCAACGACAAATAATAATAATAATAATAATAATAATTAGAACAATAATAATATAAAAGCTGTCTGTCTTTCATATAAATCTGGTTAGCTTACAGTATGAAATGATGGAATAGGGGATCACAAGGACAGTTTGATATGATGCATCAGTTTCTCTGCTATCGCACATGCAGATGCTCGGTTTCCCACTGTGGAGTGTCTGTGAGAGAAACTCGGGCGCCATGTTGGCTCTGACGGGAGTCCACTGGCCCCGTTTGTTTCCTGAGGGTCCGCGGCAGCGTGTCGAACTTTTCCTCAGATACCGGAGAGTGTAAAACCTCCAAACAGGGCCCCTGAGTTCCCTCTCAGGAGCCGAGTTCTTCCTCTACGAATCTGAAATTGGCGCCCCCCTGTGGCGGCGACTGGTATTGTAACAGTACATGATATTGCAAGAGGCACAAGAAAGTTCAGAAGCTGAATGCAGCAGCGAGGATCAGCCTCCCGTCCCACAAAGTTTCCCTTCGGTCCATTCCTTCGCCGTTGTGTCGCTGCAGCAACCCTTCCTTGCTAAGATATGGACCCTGAGTACCTCGTGGCATCTGATCTGTCGACCTCAGACCCTTTAGTGTCCTCCCAAACTCTTCTTCTCGGCAAGTTTGGCCCTTTTTTTAATTTGTGAAACTAAACGACCCTCCCACCTCTCCCCTCCCACCCGGATCACAAGGGTCACCGCCCGGGGCAGGATATGGGTTTGATGCAGCGTCCCTGGAACAGCACCAGGTTGGCGGGACAGTGGCAGCCGGCCACGCAGGGCTTGTGGCACGGTCCGATCTCGTTCCAGTTGTCGCAGGTTTTGGTGCAGCCCGGGCCGCAGGTGTCGTACACGGCGCCGTGTTTACACTGGGTGGCTGATGGAGGGAAGAGAAAATTTCACTTCATGTAAAGAGTAAATCAGCCGTCACTAAGCTTTGGCTTCTTCTGGTTCCTAAAAACACAGTGTGATTTATTTTCTTTCAAGGGGAGTTTCAGGATTGTAAATCATCCAGATTCATGTCAGACCTGTATTATCATGATTTCACTTAAACTATTAATATAATTAATCATTTTTGCTCTGAATTTATTTAGAGGCTGATTTTGCTGGATAGAGATTCGATGTCACATCCTGAACAGACGTCAGCAGCAGCCACGTTCATGTTGAAGGACGAAACTGAACCACAATGAACAAAACGTCAGATTAAACAAGTTATCCGTCGGTCTGTGAGATCATTTTAAATCACATCTGATTTGATTGGGTCTCGGGCGCCTTCACTCACCCATACAGGCAGTGTCGGGCCTCCAGACGACGGGTACTCCCTCCCTCTCGCAGGCTCGGCTGTAGGCGATGAAGGACTCGCAGTAGCAGTTTTTATGGACCGGACACTCACACATGTCTGTCACACACGACCTGCGGAGAGCAAGATGAGTTAGTTATAGTTAGTTTATATTAACAGGATTATTCAGAACCACAGGTAAAATACACTCATGTACATCTTTGGTGAAATCCAGATGAGTTTATGTGGTGAAGACAGATGTGTTTTTCTTCACACATACAGCACAGTGTGGTTACAGTCAGGCAGGGGTAGGGTTAAAGTAAGTGGTTATTTATTATGTGGGTTGTTGTGTCATCGTTTTGGTGTCATAAGTGTGAGAGGCGGCTTCAGCCCCGGCCTCACCTGTAGAAAGGGGCGAAGTCGACCACGCGGTGGCACTTCTGAAACTCCCACGACTTGATCTTCTGACACTCCCGGTGAGCGCGGAACTTGACCTTGACGCTGCCCGGACACAGGAAGGGCGTCGGCCGGCGAGGCGGGGGCTGCTGGGAGCACACCTCGTTTCCCTCCACCCGCCACGACTCGGCGAACTCGTCCACGTCGAACTTGAACTGGCCGTCGCCTCCCATGGTGTCGTCGCGCTTGTGGCCGTTGTAGTTGCCGCAGAGGCCGCAGAGGCGTCCGCGCAGGTGGGGGGCCGCCACGACCTCCACGAAACTGTCACCGTCCCACGTGATCTCCAGACCTGCAGGTGGAGGGAGGGAAAACTACATGTTCAAGACTGGAAGTAAATTCCTTTAGACAAAACTTCTCTACTCAACAGAACAAACAGGGAAATTCATTTTATACTTTTTAAAAGTCAAAGTTGAAACTTTATTCTCGACCACAGTCACAGTATTAACTCAAGGTCCATTTACTAGCTTTTGCTATAGCTTTCAACCACATGGACTTCATCAGCGAACAGACTGTGCTCAGTTGTGAATGAAATTGATTGAAAAAGCCAGTAAGTTGACCTTGAGTTGACATTATTTTGCAGCAGCTGCAGTTTAGAGTGTAATGTGAATAATTACACACTATTTCACAGTTAAAATTCATTAGGTTTACACTTGATATATGTTATATATGTTAATTGAAAAGTACAAACTCTTATTATTTATTATAATCCGCGCAAAAGGCTGCAACACTGTGGCCTAATGACACTAATAAGTATCTATATATTGATTATGAGTCACAACAACAGTTTAAATCTTAGTCAGTTTAACATGACTGTGGTTTGTAGCTGTTTGCACTGAAATTTAAAAAATTGTTCCCGCTTCATGTCACACTGATGAGGACGGCTTCATATTTTCATTATAGCGTGTGTTGACCTGCGATGGTGGTGAGTTTGAGCAGATATCCGTCCAGGTCGATGTGCACGCCGGGGCCGTGGTAGGGCAGGGCGATGCGGGTGCCGTTCCTCCGGACCGTCAGGTGCTGGTGCAGGCTGAGGATCAAACCCCCCAGCCTCACCTCCACCGACTGAGTCCAGGAGAAGGAGCGGGTCCGCCGGGCGTCGTTCTTCACCAACACCTGGGAGGAGAGAAGTGACGGAGAGTGAAGGTGAAGTCCTCTCAGAGATGTTCCTGTTATTTCAACAACAGTTTTTTATGCTTTTCACAGAAGGATTTCACATGTTGAGGTTTAGAGTTACACAGCAGGCTCTTGTTTGCGTTTTAAAAGCAGGGGAACTCAGACTGCAAATAAAACTGACGTCAAAACGTCGGCGTGTTTGTTCAGAGGCGGTAAAATGTCCCACGAACGTAAACTCCCGCCGTACCGTGAAGCTGGAGTCTGGGCTGTTGATGTTATTTCCTGGACTTCCGGTGGGGACGCCGCCACAGTCGCGAGTCAGAACGTACTGACACGTCCCCTGAAAGTTAAAGGTCCTGCCATCGAAGGTGTTGTAGTGAGGGTCCCCAAACACTGTGCACACACCTGGCTCTGCAGAGGGTGGGAGGGAGGGAGGGAGGGAGAGAGAGGGAGAGAGAGATGGAGTAAGTGTTGAATCTGTGGGAAAGAACGACCAAAAGAAGCAGAAATAACTTTTGGAAAAAATAAGAGGCTGTTTGAACTTAAATGGTTTAAATTCCCAGCAGTGGGACAGCAGCAGGTCTCTGTCTCTGTCCCAAAACAACCCAAAATGTAAAGTTTAAAAAAGGAAACTCCACATTGATGCCTGACAGCCAGCAGCAGATGGATCATTTATCATAAATGTTGAAATATGTGGCACTAATCTGACCTGACTCTGAAGTGGGAATGGGATCTGTGGTGTGGTAAAACTTCTGTTTTACCAACTGAACTGAACTCTGCTTTATGAAGAAGCGAGGTTACAAAGTCTTTGAAGTCCTGAAATGGTACATTTACAGACATTTTGGGGATTTTTGTTGCAGTTCGCAGCCAAAAAACCAAAGTAAAATGACCCGAGGGCAAACCACAGTCTGGACCGAAGCTCGTGGGAAACACTCCGATGAAGCTGCAGCGGCTGCAGTGAGATTTGCTTCCACCGCCTTTCAGAAGCCAATTCATAGTTTCTGCCTTTTTTTGTGACTGTCTTCCTACACACCACTGAGTAGAAATAACCAATAACCAATTTCACAGCCGCACCAGAACAAAATCTCAACTACAAACAGAATTGTGTGATTATATTAAGATATTTTAAGGCCTCAAATTCAAGACTGTCATCGTTAAAGACACATGAACACTCTGGAGGAGGAGGACGCTGGAGGGCCGAGGGGGACTTACTCACTTTCAGTGCAAACCGGACAGCAGCCGGTTCTGTTCAGGATCTTATTCTGCAGAGAGACAAAGCACAGACGCTCAGTGTTAGGACACTCTCACAGGGATGAGAGCGCTGCAGGACAGATGACAGAACACCTGATTACAGCAAGAGACAAGAAACGTTGACAAAATGCATCACAGGCCCAACAGAGATTTCAGCTGTTGAACTATTCCAGCCACTGGAACAGTTTCTATTTATATGCGCTTCATTTTCTCTGGTTGATGTCCGCCAGCGATCAGCCACATTTTTGAGACAGTTAAACAGTTAAACTGACATTTTTTCCACCTGTTGTTGCTGACTCAGGTAACAGTTCTGTTCTCATGCTGTCGCTCACGCAGATGGGAAAAGAAATTTAATGAAAGAGAGAAACGGAGGAAAAAGTTCCCGTTGTGACAAGCTCACAGTCGAACCAGGACGACCACAAAGACACCGATACTCCGACTTCAACTGCTGAACTCTGCCTGTGTAACACGACCCTCTGCGTGTGTGTGTGTGTGTGTGTGTGTGTGTGTGTGTGTGTGTGTGTGTGTGTGTGTGTGTGTGTGTACAGTATGTTTCAACTTCCATTAGAAGTGCAGCAGATCAGAGGACCCTTTCACACACCTACTTTTTGTTGCCTGAGGGAAACCCTTCACTGGCACGCGCACACACACACACACATATATATAACCCGTCTGTCATCACATACAGACGTTCTCCATACACGCCATACACACTCCAGAGTCCTAACCTCTGCACAAAGGGCACTCTCTCTCTTTGAAGAGGGCTGCCTTTTGACAGACCGAGGACACACACACACACACACACACACACACACACACACACACACACACACACACACACGGTGACAGAGATTGGTTTTCAGGGGCCTAAATATAGGGAACCTCTTCTTTGCTGTCACTCAAACGTCACGCAGACAAAAGGCTATTCGCAGACACACTGTCTCCGAATCGATGCGCACACACTCTGCCGACCTGCCGCTGACCGCAGGATGACGGCATGGGAGAGCGTGTGTGTGTGTGTGTGTGTGTGTGTGTGTGTGTGTTTGGGTGAGATAGGCTGCGGTGACCTCTGTATGAGAGAGTCACTCTCATAACTGGGGACAGGTGTGTGATGCCTGATACCAGAGTTCATCTTATCTTCAGTCAACTCCTCCGGGACTTTATTCACAGATTTAAGTAATAAAACTAACGATGGTTCGGTTCTATTCAAGTGTCACAGTGAGACATGACGGTTTGACAAATGTAAACAAAACATCTTTCATTTTATTTCTTATATTTACACCTACACTTGTCCTACTGCGATGTGTCAAAATGTCTTCAATGACTCAAACTTTAACACGTCAATTTACTTCACAGGTTCACCCATTTAACTCTTAAATGTATTAAAATAGAAAATTTAAAAAAAATAAAAATGAAAAGTGTATAACACCTGGGTGGTGGGAAACCAGGGGAGTGACTCTCACAGGTTTATATAATGTGTCAGTCAGACCAGGTGAGCTGAATTCTCCTGACGACCCAGCAGGTAGAGTCCAGTCCACACACCTCACACCTGCATGTGTCTTCATCAGTGTGACTGTTCTGAGACACGTTGAGTTAATTAGTGAGCTTTAACTTTGTCGTTCAGCTTTAGAGGCTGTTTCCACCTGGATTTCCTGAAATGTTGAACTACGCTTTTAATTTGAAAACGATAAAACATGAAGAAGACACCATTGTCGTGATTCATGTTTTCATCTAATCTAAAATGTCTACAAAGACTGAAGATGTTAAAATCTGAAGGACAGTTAATGCTTTATTCTACTGTTGCTGAAAATTACAAGTTTTTCATGAGCTACAGACGAAGTTTAAAAGTATTTCAGAAAAGAGGCAAGTTGTTGCCATGACATCAACTCCACAACTAACCTTTTATATGTTGTTTATATAAAATATTATTAAAATACTACATCTATAGGCTATATGTGAAACAAGAGGTTTTCACAGGAGACAGAACTGAGAGCAGACCACCTACATCACCCCGCAGTCGCCTGCTCTGACCACAAACAACAGGTGAGGGCTTGTTGTAACTGCTGGAAGCGTGTGAACTTGGACTAACACTGACACTGCCTTTGACTGCGTGACCGCCAGCGGCCGGCGGTATGCGAGGAATCCACTCCATCACCCGGCGGCAGACAGATGACCCCCGGGCGACCTCTGCGACAGGTGAACGCGGCGCAAAAAAACCTTCCTCCTGCCAGCAGTTTCCCAGAGCGTTTGACAGCTAATGTCCCCGTTTCAGCTGCAGTGAAAGACGGCTGATGTGCTGAAACAACAGCTCCCCGTCACACAGGAGAAACCTCACTGTTATAGGAGAGTCCTGGAAAATGGACGGGTTTGATACACACTGATCTAACATCTGACTTTCTCCAGATATATCCAAAGTTGCTTTTGTTTGACTGTTTGTCGCTTGTTGTCGTCTCGTCTCTTTTTAGACTCAACATCTGTATATTTTTAGATAATTATAGGACATTATCAAGTGTGTTGTTTTTGCTGTTGCTTTTTTGTTTTTAAACTATGATAAACTGCATCGTCCCCATCAAATAAATAAATAAACTAAAACTAAAAGACATGAACGTGCAAATGACAAGTATCAAAGTCGTCTTTGAAATGCACAAAGAAAAGGATGATAGAAATCATTCTGATTTATGAAAACGTGTAAACATGTAAACAAAAAGATAAATAAAGTTTGGGTCTGAGCGTTTTGGTTCACACAGACTGGTTTTTTAGGTGAAAGGGTTAGTTTGAGGGGATGGGTTATGGCAGCTCCGTCAGTAAATCAGGAACAGTGTGGAGGCGTCACGCGTGTGAAGCGAGAAAGACGGAGTTAGTCATGGGCTGTAAAGTGTTCACGCTGAGAGACGAGAAGCAGAAGAAGAAGAGCGACAGAGAGAGAGAGAGTCGGTGCTGTAGGTCCGACGTCCACCGTGTAAACCCTGCAGATAGAATACAGGCTGCTGATTGGCCGTCGGGCCTGTCACTCACCGAGGGGCAGCTGGTGATTGGTACACAGTGTTTGGGCCGACACTCGATGTTTCCTTTGACACAGGCGCACAGAGTGCAGTTCACTGACGACCACATGTCTCCTTCCTGCAGGAGCAACAGCAGGGTCAGAGCATCATCATCCATCATTCATCCATTCATCATCCATCCATCATTCATCCATCCATCATTCATCCATCATTCATCCAGTCATCATCCATCCATCATTCATCCATCCATCATTCATCCATTCATCATCCATTCATCATTCATCCATCATCCATCCATCCATTTATCCATCATTCATCCATCCATCCATCATCCATATTTCATCCATCATTCATTCATCTATCCATCATCCATCCATCCATCATCCATCCATCTGAACATCTTTCCTTTTTTCCAGTCATCCTTTCAACCATCTGTCCATCATCCTTCATTCTTCCATCCATCTGTTTATCTGTTTGTCCTTTCATCTATCATTACATTCACCCATTTATCCGTCTGTCCATCCTCCTCCCGTTATCCACACACACCATCTGTTCATTTATTCATGAGTCCCTCCATCATCCCTCCATCATCCCTCCATCATCCTTCCATCATCCCTCCATCCTGTGTCTTCTCTCTCACCCTGTAGATCTTGTTCCGGACTCTGCAGTACTTCACCTCCTCCACCTTCACGTAGGACAAACACTCATCACAACACTGGTTGCCCTGGCAACTCCCCGGCCGTGAGCACCGCTTCTTGCACACCACTGTTGAATCCTGGGAAGAAGTAGAAGAAGAAGAAGAAGAAGAAGAAGAAGAAGAAGAAGAAGAAGAAGAGAACGGCCGTTGATATTCTCACGTTTTTTTGAACATGTTTTTGTTGGATTAATAATTATGGGCTGGACACTGAGTGGATGCAGCTGGTGGCTGCTTCTTATCCAGGCCGGTACCTTGCAGGTGCAGGTGGTGCAGTTGTCGTGAATGAAGCAAGTGCCGTTCTCATAGACCTCACTGTGGAACAGACAGCTTCCTAAAGACAGATCGAACACCTTCCTCTGACCTGCAGGAGGAGGAGGAGGAGGAGGAGGAGGAGACACAGAGTCAGACATCAGACAATACATTAATACAGTAACATTTTCAGGTTACTTAGCTTGCATGACGTAGGCTATTTACATTGTATAAGTGCAAGTTAATGCCCTGCATGAGTCTGGAACAAGCTACTTGTTACATTAATGTCTGAAAGCATTAGTGTCACTGACTGTGAGTGGGAGATTTTCAGAAATATACCAAAAATATTAAAACAATCACAACAATTTGTAAATAAAGTTGTAATTTTACAAAAGCAAAAGCCATAACATTAGGAGATACATTTGTTATTAGATGAGAAAGGTGTAATAGTTTGAGATAAAGTCATAATTTTATAAGAAAGTAGTGCTGTAAAATGAAAACAACAATCATTACTCTTATTTTTTCTCAAACTTTTAACTTTGGTTTCAGAAAACTTTTTTTATTATAACATTAAAACTTTAACGTCCTTCATGGTCGCACTAATACTTCGTCATCCTAACTCTCCAGACAGGTGACAGGTGAAAAAGACGTGATTACTGGTTTTTACCGAGACATCTGGGACAGCACTGCCCGGGCGGGGTGTGGGTCAGGTGGGCGGGGCAGGAAAGGACAGGACACACCTCCTTCATGCAGAGAGTCCGCCCCCCCTTGGAACAACAACAAAACACAGTTCAAACAACATGCTGATGTTCCTCCACGTTTCTCTTTGTGATTAACCTCAACCCTCACCAGCCCCTGGAGGAAATTCCTCCTGCATCAAGTGATAAAATAAAACTTCAGTAGATTTACATACCGACATGTGTTCACATGTTTTACACAGGCAGGATGTCTGGTGGCTCACGGGCGTCACACTAATTAATTCAACTTTAAACCACAGATATTTGTTTTCATCAACAGTCAGCTCATTGCATCACTCCTCTGGTTTCTGAGAAACACCCACAGGAATGATTCGATTTCACTTTAATTCAACTTTAATTAACTGTGACTGAGTGTGCATGTTAACACAGTGGAAATGAAATAAAATCAAACGTATAAATATCATTTTCAGTCCGTTTGGCAGCTTTAATGTGCATGAACTGAAAATCAAATGTAGTGTATTTCTATTACTGTTTCATATGAAGAAGGACTTTGACTTGAATGGTCACAGAGACAAAGGATGCAATAAATAAAATGCAATATAATAAGTAAATATGTGTTCATTATTTGTGTATCAGCCTGACACTGTATGACCCCTCTGTACGTCTGTATGTGTGTTAACAAGTCTGCAGGTCGCACCAACTAAGTGGCAGCACGTTAATGCTATAATGTGTTTATGGACGTACCTGTAGGGTTTGTTTGTGTAAGGGGGAGAGAGGGGAGGAGGGGGAGAGAGGGAGAGAGGGAGGGAGAGAGGGAGGGAGGGAGGGAGAGAAGGAAAGGGGGACACTCTGCCGACCTGCCACTGACCGCAGGATGACGGCGTGGGAGAGCGTGTGTGTGTGTGTGTGTGTGTGTGTGTGTGTGTGTGTGTGTGTGTACTCACAGTGCAGGTGCACTTGATGCAGGGTTTACCCTCTGGACTGAACTCCTCCTTCTCTTTATACAGACGACCCTCAAAGATGCAACCTGCAGGAGACAGGAAACACACACACACACACACACACACACACACACACACACACACACACACACACACTGTTGTCACTGTACTGGAGGATCTCACCCACAGCTTTTTAAAAGTGATTTCAACGAGTTGGTTTAGAAAATATCCCGGGTTGGAAAATAAGAATTTTACAAGTTGGGTTGATGCTGGTTAATAAAATGACGACATGATGAATGACGAGTTGTCTAAATGAGGGAGGTCGTAAATGAGAAACATTTTCACGGCATATTTTAAAACAGTATTTGTATTTTCTGTGTGTTATTTTGAATTTATTCAGTTTTAGCAGCGTCTCAAAGTTCATATGAAAACACAAAATACACAAAGTAAATTTAAAAAAAAAGGTTTTTACTTGAGATGTTTGAGTAAAATAACAGAGAACTGAAGGAGATTTAATCTAAAACACCACTAAGTGAAGGTGCAGAGATCTGCACTCACCTGGGCAGGTGGGGCAGCACTTCTTCGGGTGGATCTTGGGGTTCTTGCAGTGGACGACACACTGCACCTCCGCCTCAGTGATGACACCTTCCTGTCACAGCCAGGAGGGAAATCACTTCTTTAGGGTTTGAAAAATGTAAATATGACTGTCATGCTTCCACCTTTACCGTGTTTCATTCCTCCATCCCTCTTTTGTATCCACAACACACACACACACACACACACACACACACTTACCTGACATCTTCTAGTTATGCAGGGTTTGGTGGAGGTGGTCCAGGACACTGAGCTGTTGTAGGATCGTCCATCCAACATGCAACCTGAGAAAGATACAGACACAACGTGAGACTCTGAACATTAATGTTGCACCGATAAAACTTCAACAACCTCAAAACTTCCATCCAGCAGAGAAAAAGAAAGAGGCGTTTAGATTCAAACTGTTTGTGTTTCAGCTATTTTTCATTTTCCCCACATCAGTGAGTAAATACATAGTGGCAGCCAATAATAAAACGTAAAAACAATAATAAGAACAGGGCAGAATCGAATGCAGGAGAAGTTTTTATTATGTTAATGCAGCATGATTACAACTAAATGACATGTAAATAATCAGAATATAAATATATATAAACCTGTATTTACACGTGCAGCAGACTGAGCAACATTAGCACTGATATATAGTCCAGTTTCTGTCTCCTGAGTTAAATATCTGCTGCTTACACATCTGCTCCTGTTTGGTGTTCAGCAGGTAGTGGACAGTGGATTTTTTGGGCTTTAATGCTGAAAACAGGCTGCACGAGAAACCTCAGCGTCTGTAGGTTCGTTGCTACCTCTGAGATTTGGATGTATAAACTCTATTTTAATGTATATTTTATAAACTGAAATTTCGCCCCACACACACACACACACATCTGGACTTGCTCTCTCACACGCTTTTAGAAACACACACTTTGCAGCTGCTCAGTAACTCCACACCCACCGACCCGTCCACTCAGCACTAAATGAATAGCCTATTCATTTCATCCCATTTTCAGTAAGTGGCCCCAGATCAATGTTTAACTTTCCATACAATGAAACCCGATCACGGTTGCTGCTCCCCCTCAGTGTAAATCAAACCCTCTGATACCGAGGGCGACGTACGGCAGCTCAGAGAACAGAGATCAGATGAGAGGGCGAGAGATCCCACAGAGACGCTCGTCCTGTTCATACACTCACGCACAAACACTGCGACGAGTTCGTGATCACACGGCTTCTTCTAACAACTACTGATCACACGGCTTCTTCTAACAACTACTGATCACACGGCTCTCACAGAGCTCTGGATTCATTTAGAAACGTGTCCGGCAGGTAAAACCCAAGTCATTTTAAATCTTTCTTCACCAGCCTCTTACAGTGAGTGACGAGGACAGATTAAACAGGGATAGTACAATATCTATATCATAAATAATAAATAATATAAGTCATATATTATAATTAAATATGCTATTGTCTATAAAAATGAACCAACAACACATTATCTTGTTGCTGCAGTCAACAGCATTAACTGAGTCTTTAATTTGAACATTTTTCAAATGAAGTTCTGTCCGTTCTCCTCGAGGAGAAAACCAACTAAGAGGTTCATTACGAGCTCATTCACAACAAACAACAGTTGGTTTAAGTAATTGTGAAAATTCGCTGCTGAAGGCCACAAGATGCTGTTGAGAGGTCCAGAAGAAAAGCCAGTAAGGGGACCGTTATTTTATCAAGACGTTGATGTTTATCAAAGAGAAGAAAGAACGACACTCAGAATAATAGATAAATATTGTAATATTATTTAAATGAATGCCATTTTTTGACTTTTTTAAAATGGTTTTATATAATATATAATTTTTTATATACTCCATTCTGAGGTCACTTCAGGTCAAGTATAACTCCGCACTGCTGTGTGTATAAACTGGTTAATTATGTCGCTTTTAAAGTAAATTGTTCCCAATAAACTGATGCCGTGTGGCTGTGATTCTCCTTAACTTTGTGTATGATTTCATAAGAGTGAGAAAACAGCGATGTGACACAGAGGGGTCCTGAATGTGGGTCACGGCGGCCATGAGTCGACCGCACAATATAAAAAACTAACTAAAGGGTTGCCACGGCGACTCGGGACTCTCCGCGTCCGACTTGAGCTCGTTCCACCTCTCTTAACGAAGTGCTGCTGCGTCGTAAAACGGCGAACCACAAACAAAAAGGCCGCGCCCCGGCTGAGTGCTGCGAGGTAGGAGTGTGTGTGAGTGTGTGTGTGTGTGTGTGTGTGTTTATATTTCTAACCACAGAGCTTCATAAGTACAGAAAGAGCAGGAACATCCTCTAAGTGAAGACTGTGTGGTGGCTTCTCACTGGGTTTTGATTCAGGGTTTTGAGTGATGAAGTGGAAGCTCCAAAACTGTTCAAACTGTTCAAACTGTGTTAAAGTCGAAAAACTCACAAAAAACATGATACGACTTAAGTTTCACTTTTACTTCCTGGGACGTGTTTTTGAAAGTATCGTTTCATGAAGAACACCTTAAAGGACCTTATCAACGACTAGACTTTACCATAGTGGGATAATCCATGACAACACAAAGTTAAAATAGTGCTATTGGGTAATATGGTGCAGACTTTTAAAACTGATGCAGTCTTGAGTTTGCACTTTGCTGATTGATTTGGATGCTGTTCAGAAATTCGTGGAAACCCGACCTGAAACGTCTGTAAATGCACATTCAAAAAAAATCTAAAACTACATATATTTAAAAATGGTTGACAAAAATGTAAAAGGAAACATGAGCTGAGGAACAAACACTTTCAAACATACTGGTGTGGCTATCTATGTATCTATCTATCTGTCTATCTATCTATCTATCTATCTATCTATCTATCTATCTATCTATCTATCTATCTATCAGGGGTGAAAATCAAACACAGTCACTTTAACCGAACTATTCCTGTGTGTGTGTTTTTGAAGTTTATAAAGATGACACATCATCATATTCATTGTTTTCATATTCATACCTTTACACCTCTCACAGCAGGCTCCGGTCTGTTTCACCACCAGAGCACAGTCTTCAGAGACCAGCGGACATTTCTCCTGTTTACAGTCGGCCTTCCCTTCCTGTGGCAGAGAGATAGAACATATATATTTTTACTATATATAATTAGAAAGACAAGTTTTAACCACCATAAATTTAACCACTACAAGACACAGTAATCTCTCTGTTGCAGATAAATGAAAACACCAGGTTCGTCTCTATTTGTGTCCTGCACATACGTGTGCACGTGGACGTACATGTCACCGACACATACAGCTGCATGAGTGAAACATGAACATAACTTCTCAAAGTGAGTTGCAAACAAAGTTGTTTTGTCTCCTAACAAATGAAGCTCGGTGAAAGTTCCCGTCATCTCTGAGCTCCCCGAGCTCCATCCCTCTTCACCGCAAGTTTCCTCTGATCAGAAGGACCTTAAACCTAAGGACCGCCCTCCAGGGTGATCCACTTCCTGCTGGGGTCTAAGCGCCAAAGTCTGTTCCTTCTGTTCACAATAAATTCCATTAAACTTCAAATTCCTCCAACTCTTCTGTTCCTCTTATTAGTCTCTCTTGATTGAAATTAATTCTCCAAAAGAAAAAAGAAAAGTTTTCATCTGTGATGTCACAGTTTGATTCACACAGACCTCTGTTGTTTTCCCAACAATGTAAAAACACATTGAAGAGACTTATATCAAGGATGTGGATTCAGACAGTCCTTTAGTTGAATAAACTTCACTGCTGGTTTTAGTTTTTATGGGTAATTTGCTGTTAATTATAATTATATAATCATCATCTGAATTGGACTGAATATTTTCTCATCACCCGTGTGCTCGGAAACCAGACTTCAGAACAGTTTTAATGCTCAGTTTCTGAACAGAAAGTGACTCAGTGTTCACAGTTTAGCTGTGAATTTTCACACCAGCTCAACAGTCGTCCCGTCACCTCCAGACACGCTGCACGCCGCATCCGTCATCACCGCCGGCTGCACCGTGGGACAGAATCTGCGCTCGTTTAGTCCGCTCCACTTTCACACCCAGCTTTTATTGCTGATTTTATCCACATGCTGCGTGTGTTTTATTTTACACACTGCGAGGGTTTATAAAGTGGAGGCTGGCGGGTCCCCGTGGCCCCCGCGGCCCCTGTGGCACTGTGGCACTGCGGCAGGCGGCTCTAACGAGGACGGATCAAAAGAACGGCCAAAATAAATCAGGGGGGCGGTTTAATATAGCAGCAGCTAAACCCCAACCACAGCGAGGACAGATGATGTCATGACAGGGGAAGAGGGAGGAGAGGGACGGACATGGAAAGAGGGGACAGAGGAAGTAAGATCAGAAAGAGGGAGACAGAAAAGAGATAAAGGCGAAGGATAAATTCTCACTTTGCACATTCAGATTCATGTGATGATATCATGGGAAAAAAAAGAGGGGAAGGTTTTTCTTTAAAGGCAGTTATAGTGGTTGATTTTAACATCTAAAAATTTATGTCTCAATATGTGAATTTTCCAACCAGATTATATCCTGGATCTCTTCTCTTGCACTTGTGGGCTTCACCACCCACAGCATCATCTGACCACAGCATCATTCATCTCACCCCTGTTCGTAAAGACTCCAAACCACAGAGGAAACAGACTGGTCTGCACAGGAAGAAGCTGCAAAAGTCGGTGAACGATGTCATCTGCATTTGATCTTTGAGCAACGGGTGCGAGAAAAGCTCAGCTGACTCGTCAAAAATCGTCTTTTAAAAAGGAAAAGTTTAGGTTTTAAACCTTGAAATTTAGTGGTTAGCTGCTTCAGATACAGTAAGTTCGAGCTGGATGATTGCTGCGAGCAAAGTTTCCTTTGAAGTAGGGCTGCACGATATGCAAATAATGATGCTAACTATGCAATAAACAATGTGACACTATCATATTGAGATTTCGATTATATTTCCATTAATTTTGCCGCTTGACTTTGAAGCAACAAGAAAAGTGAGAGAAGTGTGGTGACAGGCTGTTGGACCAGTTCTGTAGATAAACTATCAAATCTATCAGAAACTCTTTAAACATGTACTGTTCATCACACTGAGCATCTGGTCTCCATTAATGCTTCTCAAACTCTCATCATCTTCACTGTAAAAGTCTCTACTACACAACCTCATGACGATAGCGAGACAAAAACCAAAGCATATTTTAAATCTATGATGCCTGACGATGGAGAGCACAAGTCGACTGAGGTTGAACAGTCGACTGTAACTTATAGAAGTGAATGTAAACCACCTGTAAAAAAAAAATATATATACTGTATATATATAAAATACTGCAAAAACACAGCAGCAGTGTGTTTGACAGAGAAAAAAAATATATATGAAAAAAACAAAAACAGATCCTGAGGCAGTTTGGTCAAAGAGTCTCCAAGGTCATGTCCCTCTCTCTGTCTCCTGTTATCCATTAGCACAAAGTGGTGTTAGTACATGTGACCCCCCCCCCCCACACCCACCCTAACCCACCCACCCACTCACCCTCACCCCTCCTTGTCTCGGGGTCAAAGGTCACAATGGGTCACCACGCCTTATAAACACTCAACATACCACCGCGGCACCAAGGCTGGCCGACTGGACGGCTGTCTGTCGCCGAGGGTGAAGACCCCCCCCCCTCCAACACACACACACACACACACACACACACACACACACACACACACACACACACACACCCACTTAAGTGTTGGTATGTTTGAAAGTGTGTGTCAGAGAAAGAGAAAGTGTGTGTGTGTGTGATAATGGCTTTGTCTTTTGTCTTTGTCTGAGTGTTTACATGCTGCTGTACGGAGATACAAGGTTTTTACACTCCAACTGAATTACACTGAATCCACCAGTCGCCTTTTCTTTACTCAATTATTTACTTTAAACTTAACCGTAAAAATAAAAAGCAGCAGATTTCACCTGATGGTCTGGTGGGAAAAATGGTAAAAGTTCAAGTTAAAATTTCGTAGATACAAGGTTGTCACCTGACACAATACGCAGGACGACCGCGAAGCTCATGATTTTCTGTGTGACGTAAAATCACGGAGACACGAGGTTTCAGTGTGAAGAAACAAGAATAGACTCAGACTGTATCCAAACTCAATCAGGTCAATTCAATCATTTACTAACGTCATTAGTGAAGGTTAAGTTCAACTACAGTAATTCCATTATTCACAAACTTCATAAGCTTTAACTGCTCAGCTTCACAAAACAGCAGCATCTGTTTAAAGTGTACATCATATACAGTATGCTGTTTTCCTCCACATTAAACCCCAGGAAATAAAGGTTTTTAAGGTTTAATAATGACGTTAGAAATATCAGTTTAATCAGTTTAAGTGCAGATAGTAAGAGACTTCAGGTAACAGCACTTTAATGTGGGTTTAAATAAGTCGGTTTTAATCTTTTCTGGGTCCATAAACCTTCAGGAAATGTGAAGGGTTAATACCAACAGACACTTCTTCCTTTAGTTTATGTGGTGCAAAAAAAAAAATGAGAGGATGTAGGTTTTGTTTTTTTTTTTGCTTGATATTGACTTGGGGATTATATCACTGCTGTTCACTGATGATCTGCACATTTGTTTTTGTTTGTCACATTTTCTTCTGTATGAGAGGGGAAAAAAAGCTAAGTTAGAATATTGGACAAGAGTTAGAGCGATGAATTTATAGACCAAACTGATCATTAAAAGACTGAGAGGAAATCAAACGGACTAAATCTCAGTTATTTAACATTTTATCAACCTATAAATGATGATTCTTCTTCTTTATTGGATGAAGTTGTGTGACAGTAGCGCTGCTCGGCCACTAGGGGGCGACAATGTTCACTGCTTCTCCACGTCACTGTTTTTTCTTCTTCCTCTTTCTCCCTCATCCATCACTTTCTCCTCCTCTCTCTCCAAGTGTTTCTCTTTCTTTTCCCCCCAGTTTCAATTTAAATCTAATGTTGACAGTATCTCCTTTATTCTGTCTTATTCTCCCACACTTTGTTTTTCCATCAGTCTCTCTCCACGTTCATCAGTCTCTCTTCTGTTTCTGAGATGTTTCATGAAAACTCTCAGTCTCTGTCTCACATCACCTTCCTCCTCTTCCTCCTCCTCCTCTTCCTCCTCCTCCTCCTCTACCTTTTCATGCTTCCTCTCTCATGGTGGATGATAGAGAGATCAGTCGGCGTCTGTCAGCGCAGGAGAGGAGCTCTCGACTTAAAGGTCCACTTAAGCCCTTGGACTCCAACCCCTCCTGATCCCCCTAACCTCAACCCCCTTTGCCACTGTGACCTTTCACCTTTCACCCTTCCTCCAAAGCAAACAGGTCGCGACCCCCCGCTGGAGAGCAGGAGCCACAGTAGCTTAGGGACGAGACGGCTGGAGAAAGACGCCGATGGGAACCGGTTTCCCAAAACCGTTTCAACGAGTCGACTACGTCTTTTTTTTTTTTTTTTTACCTACAGCAAAGTTACAGCCACGCCCCCAGGAAGTCAGGACGAGTGTGTTGACTTTCCTTTGAGCAAGATGGCGCCCTATTGTTTGGATGGACCTTAAAAATACATTTCAGCCCCTTAACATCTGTCTGACAGAATCTGACATGTTATATTACATATACTCTATCATGTATATGATGTTCAAACGCGCACCATTCAATCAAATATTGATATTATATTATTGATATTCGATATTCCCTGACATTCAAAGAAAATATCGTAATCAGTAAAACACAAAGTAAATGTATAACCAAACTCATAAAAACCAATCCAGAAGAGTCCAGTTAATTATTTTCATTGTTGATTGATAAGTTTTTATTTAATCGTTATGCCTTTTACTACAAAGCTCAGGAGACTCCGATCAAAAATTAACTGAGAGAACTAAGAAATCCAACAGACCGTCAGTCACTTGTCCTCACTTTATATCTAATGTCTGTTTCCTCAGACATTTATAAAGTAAAAGCCGCACAGACAAACGGCCCTGGTGCCAGTGATGAAGGTCTGAGGACAAAAGATGTTGTAAATGAAGTCATCGTAGCGCCTGAAGAGACGTCTTCATGTTGTTTAAAACGGAGAGTATTTGACATTTTTTCGCTGATAAATTTTTCTGTTGATTGACTGATTTAAAAAGCCGTCAGTCCTTAAAATCCTGTCCTGTCTCCTTTCTCCCAAATCACTGAGACGCACTGTAATAATGTAATATCAGTGGGTTTCTCTTCTCTCGTCTCGAAGTTTCTTCACTGAGGCTTTTTATTGTTTATTTTATTGTTGTGAGATTATGATATCAGAGTTTTGTCACTGTTTGTTTACTTGTCCTATTTATTTTTTTATCTCTCCCTCTCTGACCAATCAGACACTCTGTTATCTTCACATTCACATTCACTCTTAATTCTTGCTTTTAATTTTTTTTATCCGGCTCAGGCTTTTATTTTGAAACACAAGTTAAATGTGACGTCATTGAAGTTATTTTTGATTGATATTTATATAAGCGGTGGGAAGTAGATCAGAGTAGAACACAATAGATAATGGAGCCAGTGTTGGCTCAGCGTTATCAGGTGATTATCAAACCTCCTGTATTGATCAGCTGCTGTTTGAGTTTTAAACGCTGACCGGAAACGACCTTTTACCTCCCTGTACGATCGATCACAGGTACACACGGCGTAAAACTCCTCACCCGCAGCTTACGTGTATATATTTATAGCTCATCTGAAACAGGTTGCTTCCACCGACCTCTGACCTTTGACCTCTTTACTGCTGGGAATGGAGTTCCTCCTCCTGCAGTTAAAGTCATATTAAGCCCCCAGCAGGATGAGAGCGGCGGAGAGCGGAGGTTTATGGGTGATGTTACTCTGTCAGAATGAGGACGTTCACTGTCACAGATCACTGCACCGAGCTTTATGTGAAGATAAACTCTGGGTAAAGTGCACTTAGGGTTAGGTGACTAAAAACACCGGGTGAGAGGAAAAATCCCTCTGACCTTCACGGCACCGGACGCAAATCATGACGCGTGGAAACGACTGATCCGAGCGTAACTCTTTAACAGCTCGTCAGGTGCAGTCGTCCGCCACTGTGAAGACTGGGAAAAAACAACTTCTCTGCTCACATGTTAGTCCAGATCCACAATCTATTAAAGTAAGACGCACTTCAGAGAAATCAATATCAGCTAAACATCGGTCCTCTGGGTTTGATTTGCCCTGACGGAGCAGCTTATAAAGTTCAGCAGCCGAGTCTGAAATCTCAAATCTCAAAAGCTTAAAATCTCAAAGTCTCCCACCAACACACGAAACTTCTGAGAGGCTCACTCACACCAGGGACGTGTGTTTAACCACACCATGATCCTTTTTAGGTTGCTTTACGTGGGAATGTCGCTGCTGCAGCTCCCATTACAGCTGTGAAAAATATGCTGCACTGACGTAAAATCTGAAATCAAACAAAGTGACGGACTGAAGAAAAAAGAAAAGAAAAAGGAGCCAATCTGAGAGTGAGTGAGGGGAGGAAGAGCCCGATGAGAGAGTGGAAAAAGACACGGAGATGGACAGACTGATAGACGAGGATGATGAAGAGCGTGACGGAGATGAGATGACTCCCCTTCGAGATAACGCATCGTCATGGCGACCTGCCTGTCAGTCAGTCTGTCAGCCACATCCACTCCTGGCCCCATTACAGCGCCCGGCCTCACGCGGACACACACAATGGCTCTACTGTGTGTGTTAGTGTGTATATGTGTGAGTATGTATCTATATGTGTGTGTGTGTGTGTGTGTGTGTGTGTGTGTGTGTGTGTGTGTGTGTCCTGCCCACAGAGCCATTAGCAGGTACTCTGACCCCCCCACACGCACTCAATGCTTCTATGTATGAGTGACACTGGTGCCCCAATGGCTCCCCGACCCCCCCAAAGACAGAATGGCGACACGGGACCCAGTGGAGGTGCAGTGATCGAGAACATGTTGGAGTTAACCTGGTTGTTTTGTTTCCCGCTACAAGAGGAAATTATTCATCAGAGTTCAGAGTAAACAGGATCCTTCGATGACGAGGAAGGACCAGAACCTGTTTCTACTGAAAACTGAAGCTAAATGCTGCAAATCAGCCGGATTCTATAGACGTCATATAATAATGATAATAATAGTCAAACTCCAACGAAAAACACTTTTAAAAACTTGATTTTCATCTGAATTTTTGCATTAATAATAAGACTTTTAGCTGTGATTTAACTACGAAGTTAACCTTCTCTCACATTTCAACTAATAAATCATTGATCGAATGAAACAAACAGATCAAACCTGTTAAAACGCAGATTTAAATCTTCAGAAACAAACAAAAACAGAGTGATAATCTCTGTATTTGGATTAATGTTACGTTAAGAATAGAAACCTTCAATAATTCGCTATGCACAGTATTTGTTCTCTGACTTTGACTGAATACAGAAACCTTTCAAATTTACCTGGCGACTGTGCCGACCAATGAGAAGTGAAACTGAGAACTGATATCTGACTGATATGAGTTTGACTGATCTGAGTTTACGCAGGAAAGTAGAAAAAAAAAAACATCTGGGTTTTAAAAAGTATTAAGGAGATAAACAAAGGCCAAACTCAATAAAGTTTGGAACTCTTAATGTATGTAAGTTTATTAGTGTGTGTGTGTGTGTGTGTGTGTGTGTGTGTGTGTGTGTGTGTGTGTGTGTGTGTGTGTGTGTGTGAGAAGGGGGGGTTAAAGTAGAGATGAAAGGACGGCCATTGCCTGCTGATGACTGATAGCATTCAGCAGGGCTTTGGCTGATGACTGGCTGATAACACAGAGGACGGCTGAGCCAGGCTGCAGGCCGAGGGGAGACTCACAGCAGCCAATCAGGAGCCAGTGGAAGCTTTCAGCGGCTAGGGTTCGGATACAGAAACTTGTACTTGACATTAATGAGTGTAAGTGAACAGTTGTCCTGTTATAAGAAAATAATAGCTGAAGAGAAACTACACCCACTTTCTGTAGTGACTGACCAGGTGTGTGTAGATATTTTTTTTCCATTCTTCACACTATTACTTGCATCACAAACGACCGAATGCAGCTTCATGAATATGTCTGAAGTGATAAAGTCTGAAACTCAAGTCATTGAAAACAGACGGGGTAAAAAAACGTACGAGCTGCAGTTTGGTTAAACTACACTGAACCCTTTGAGGAAGTTACAGGAGCACTAACCTCCTGGAGTCTCAGATGGTTTCTGATAAAACCACAACATGGAGCTTCTGCACTTCTGTTTTCCCACAGATTAAACCAAACTGAATACAACACGAGCTAAGCTAAGCTAACCAGCCGCTAACTGTGGCTTTACAGTGCAGACACGAGAGCGGTATCAATCTTCTCATCTAAGGAATAAGCATACATCCCAAAACTAACTTGAACTATGTAAAGAACCCGCTGTTAACGATCAGCGTTGTTGCTATGGTTACGCACAATCTAACACAGCACTGACACCGATGCTCATATTCGCTGTGTCCTGATCTACGGTTTTAACCTGCAGGCCAATCAGAAACAACACACACAATGCATGTGTTTCCTGGAGGGTAAACTCTGGGTCACGTGACGCCTTTTAAAAACCAAACTCTCTCTCTCAGTTGATGTCGGAGCAGTGACACAGAAAAGCCTCGTTGGTCCATTCTCATCCCCTAAAACAAAAGACCTCTACAGCAGCGAGGAGGTGGTGGCGGTAAGGTATTATTGGGAGGGGTCAGGGGTCAAAGAGCACATGTTCCAGGAAAGAGTTGTCCCTTAACGTTTTGTAGGCTGATTTTAACAGCCGGGCCGAGCCAAGACAGCGTGACGACGGGCCTGTGTGTTAAAACAAACAATCCCCACTTCATGTTTCCCTCACAATCCTCACAAAACAGTAAAAAGTCACATTATAAACTGTTTTCCCGCTCTCGCAAATCACAAACTCCTGTCCTAACTTCAGGGAACTTCTGAAAACATTTCTAAAAAGAAAAAAACAGCTCAATTAAGTTATTTCATGCCAGATTTTACAACAAAAATCCACACGTAACGCTTCATCTAAACTCCCGCCAAAAACTTGCATTTCAAAGTCCTGTCCGTGTGTAACAAATCTTTCACAATCTACCGATAAGAAACAAGCTTTGTAAATATCATTATCAGAGCTTTTTATACTCCAAGTGTGAATGGAAAAACCTGAAGCAGCAATTACACATCAAAAGAGTTTTCTGAGAGCAAAGATGGCAACAGCTCAACGTCATGAGACGAACGGCGGTGGAGAGAAGTGAAAGCGGTTTGTTCTTACCAGACAGACGCAGGTGATGCAGGGGTTGTCGGTGATGTTGGGGATGTGGAGGACCTCTCCCTCGTTATCGCAGCTGGCCTCGGTACCTGTGAAGGACAGGAGCAAGGTGAGAGTCAGACCCCACCCACCTGACCTACGGTACACAATCACCTGTCAGACGTGACCACACAACAGGCTCGCGTTAAATAAACTGTGATGAGAGCAGGTGAATTACACCAGAGATTAATATGATATATTATATTTTTTATCTGTTTTCTTCTATGGCCCCAAAACTTTATTGTTTTGGTTCAGTCTCACGTGCGACATCGTGGGTTAATGGACAAAATCCAGCTGCTGCTGCTTCACTACTTCCTCTGTTTGTACGACACATCCAGTTTGTGCATCAGGTGTTATTGATCAATTATCGATTGTGTGTTGCACATGATGGAAATACTCAGAAACATCTACTTTCCTCTTTTCAGTATTTCTTAAAAATAACGTTTTACAGTAACAACTAAATGTAAGATAACAGCAGTTAAGTTGATTGGAGATTAAATTATCAATACTTATAAATAAATCAAATGTATGGTAAACTTGAATAATCATATTCAAGGTCTACAGCCTATAAAACACTCATCAATATCACCTGATGATGTTGACTCTAGTCATGCATCAGCCAGGCTTCATTCTACATTTCAGGGTGCGTTCAAAGCCAACGTGTTCTGGAGGATTATTCTATTATTCTGCATCAGTCCAGTTTGTCTGTCCAGGTAAAAGCAGCGACGTTTAAAGTGAGGTCTTAAAAAACGTGAGTCAGTCAGCTTGTTACGAGTGTAATCTGAACCAACCACAGGAAACAACCCCAAACACAAGGGTTTATGGGTAGAAGCAGACAGATGTCAACATCTCACGGCCAGCAGTTCCTCCCACTCAGAGAGAGAGAGAGAGAGAGAGAGAGAGAGAGAGAGAGAGAGAGAGAGAGAAACCAGGTTCGGGTTGATGCTCAGCTGTTTGTTCATGTGTCAGATTTGTTTTGACTCTCCAAAATGAAAACTTCCTTCCCAGTAGGAACTCATTGTCACGAGCTGGAGGTCGAACCGGGGTCGTCAGAGGTGAAGGTAAATCCCCACCCCTGAGTGCTGTGTTTGAGTGTCAAACTACTTCCTGTTTCCATCATCGTCTCTTCCAGCTGATCCTATCTCTCCGAGGACAAGAATTTCTCACACTGTCTGAGGATAAAACACCTCATTTACTTTTTATTACTTCGAAATGATTAAAATCTTATGACACACTGGACTTTACAACCTTTGTGAATCAGGAAACTGGATCACTGCTCGTCTCCTTCAGTTTAAAACCTTTATTTATTTACCTGCAATCAATGCTTCAGGGTCTGCGGTTCATCTCCAAAAAAAACCTTAAGTTAAACTCCCTACACCCCAAGACTATAAGCATTCGGATCAATAGCTGATCTCTTATCAGTGAACTGTGACCTCTAACTCTTGACCTGCTGACTGTTTGGTTTCCTGTGATGTTGATGACTCAGCAGATGACTGGCAGGCCTGTCAAGCTAATACATCCACGATTCTCCTCACACCAAATTCATAGGGGACGAGAAAGAGATTTAGCTTTTAAAGAGTTTGGAGGGCGGATTCCCCCTTTTTTTAAAGAGACAAAAACATGAGCAAAAGTGTAAAGAATAGACTGCCCGAATGCAAGCTGCAACTGTTAGCATGTCTGGCTAACTAGCTTCCTACCTACGGTATTAGCCAACTACAAGGAGTAGCCTACATCATTACCTGCATTAGTTTGTGTGGTTAAAAGTTACATCAAAAAAAAAAAAAAGTCAAGTTTACATAGAGAATATCCAGTGTGTAGCGTTTCCCCGATCCTGGATGCTAATGGAGTTTAGGCTAACGTTTACACTTCCTCAACCACTGCAACATTAGCCGAGATAGCGTTACGTTTTCCAAATGACGAGTTAACTCCTCATGCTAAAAAGCTTTTTGTCTAGTAACATTAAAAGTGAAACATACTGTGAAATACAAGTAACCGGCTCTACACTGCATTACAGGAGCAACGCTGTTTCTTTACTTCTGTCTTCTATATTAAAAATCTTGTGAGACCTGTTAGCTTTAGCCTCAGTCTCTTACCGCGTGATTATGTATGTAGCCATCAAATGCATATTTAAGATCATTTTAACAAGATTTTTGCTTTGATAATGCCTAAAAAATTAGCCGAAAATTAGCTTTATTAGCTAGCTGTAGCGACAGTGAGCATTTCAACCAACAAAATCAACAGTTGCTAGCAAGAAGCTGCTAATGTCGACCTCTGTCTGAAACCAAGGGGCTATTATTTCAAAAACCTGCCACCATTATGACTGTGAACTAAATGTGGGCACGTGTGAACAGAAACAACAGTATCATCAACAGATGTGTGTTTGAAGTGGAAAGTACTGTCACTTAGTAAAATACCTTAAAGTTTTAAATCAGGGCTGTAAAGGACTAAAATCAACCAAACTCAGACTTTTTACAACAACAGATCAGCCGAAGAGTCGTGCCGCCTGAGCTCGTCTCTCCGAGAGCAGCAGAGACCCAGCCTGTGGATTCAGGCCGAGCAGACAAAACCCTGCCGACTCCACCACCACTGTAAAATTTACAACCTTCGAGTGCAATTAAACTGGCATGGCTGTAAGTGGTGGGGGGTGAGGGGGAGGGGAAGGAGGGGAGTCGGGTCTCTGAGGCCTCATCCTCAGTCTGACAAAATACCCCCC